ATGGTCATTTTACCATTTTAATATAAAACAATAAAAAAAAGGGAAAATGAAAATTGGTCATCTTCTCCAACAACCCCGACCCCGACCCCCATCCCTCAATCCCACCAAAACACAGCACCACCAACCATCGCTTGTTACAATCACCCACCGTGGCGTGCTACAACTATCCACCACTTAAGGAAATCATATTTTTCGAACCCTAATTTTCATCCCTTGAAAGTTTCTATAATTCATTTCCACCAAATCAAAACTCACAAAGAACCTTGGAATTGAAAATCAAAAATTGCTCATTTTCCAATTTCTAAATCTCCTAAATATTTTTCATTCATGTTCCATGGGGAACTTGTGATTTGATAATGGGAAGTTTTTACTCCAAATTTTTTACAGGTGGGAGTGGGGGCAATGATTTATGGATATGGCCGGACGGTGGTGGCACTATCGACGGTGGATGGAGGGTGGCATATGGTGAGACTGATTTTCCCCATTATTGGGTAGGTGGGGATGAGAAGAAAGAAGAAATGCATACAAACGTTGTATGTAAACAATTTTTCTCGTGCACGGTCGGTAAGAAAAGCGTTACACCTTCCATCCATACTACATACTAAAGGATGAAAAAGACTTCTAATAATCATTCAATTCCAGGACTTCTTCAATTACTGCAATTAAAAGTAGATGGGTCATAGAGCGGTGCTGTCACCATCCTACGAACATCCATCATAATTTTCTGCATAGTTTTGAAATAAATTGAGCACAACATTATGCACAAAAATACCGACCGGGAAAAAAATCGAAGTGTCTTACTTTTAACAGACCACACAAATCAAATGCTGAAGAAATTTGGAGTTGGAAAAAGTTAAAATGTTATGAACCAAATGGTTAACAAATAGAAGGCACTTATTGATGGTGAGCTCAATTAATTGCAGAAATCATCAGTGACGGCATAGGACAGTGCTTGATCTTAATGTGCGCGAGTTCTGCTACTTTCTGCATTCCTTATCGGGTAGAAATAGGGATGAGCCTGCACCAAACTACAACAGTTATCCACAGGACAATTTGCAGCCAAGATCAAATCATAATAAGAGACACAACTCAAAGCAAGCTGAATGTACCTGAAAAGTAGTTGAATATGAATGATAAATTGGAATCCAGGGCAAACAAGAAAACTTAAGACGTGATTTTTCCTAATTACAATCCCAAAGCACAATTTTTTTCTTAATCAACAAAAGTATTTAACATTTTTAGTAGTTTGTTATGGCGCACAGCTATTCTCCATTTTCAGTTGCATTAACGCTGCCTCTGAAACAGCTTGCAGTAAAGCCAAACTATTCCCAAGTCTCGAATGTAAGAAGTGTTTCCAGTTGTACTTTACAATCCCTAAAAAGATTTACACATGCCAGATCGAGATTTTACCATTGCTTCTTTCGCAGTTGGCCTCTCTTGATGATCATACCGCAACAGCTTGTCAACAAAATCAATTGCCTTCACAAGAAAAATGCACATTTATGGTTCAAATCTTTAGCATAGTTAATCAAATGATTTGTCAATTACCAATAGCCATAACTCTCACCTCCGGAACAGCCAAATGCTGATTATCGGCATTAATAAACTTTGTCCATGGTTTTCTGCTATGCCTGGATTGACATGCAGGCAACTTATATATATAGTAGTCAAAAATAGATCATAGAGACATCGATCAAGATTTATATAATTACTAACCTTCCAACAAGAGCAGCAAGGTGTGGGTCCAATTCCAACCGGTACTTGTTAAGATAAGCATTCAACTCATCTGTCCCCAATACCTATTATCCATCAAAAAAGCAGTATATCTTCAATCAGAGTCAGATATCAAGACTTTAGGCTCTTGTAATTTCAAGCAAGACTGACCAAATCAATGGTCACGTCCAAACAAGACAAGCAAGAAACACAATTTAGATAAAATCACAAACATCCAACTCTTTTTTAGCACAAACATCAACAAAAACTTAAAACATTATCTTGGTATAGCATCATCACAACACACCAGATGCACTAGTCATCTCCATGTCCAAGTAGAGAAGGGTGAATATGCTAGGAAGAGATCATATGATGGTGCAGAAGTAACATTTTTTTGAATAATCGTACTTGTTTGGCCAGATGACCTACCTTGGCAATCTTAACCAGTTGATCATAATTGTCATGCCCATAAAAAAAAGGCTCCTTACGAAAAATCTGCACAGCCGAAACCCTCAATGTAAACATCAAATTGGGAGTACATCTTGGCATATCTAGGTTCGGTATTAATTTTTTTGCCTTTTCATCATCTGCCACTCATGGATGTCCAGGCGGATTAAAATCCACACATCCAAAATGAAGCTTGAGGAGCAGTTTCAGAGACAGGAGGCCTACCAAATGATATGCCAAGGTCCATTTGTATAACATACTAAACAAGTCTAGTAATAAGTGAATATGTATTCTATAACACAATTCAGAGAAAAAGCAGGAAGCGGATACCATTCCAGCAAACATACAACCGAGGCTCCACAAGTCCAATGAGTAATCATAATCTTGCAAATCAACAAGAAGCTCAGGGCCCTTAAAATACCTGCAAATCAATGAGCAAGAGCAAGAGCAAGAGCACGAGCACGAGCACGAGCACGAGCACGAGCACATCAGATATAAGGTGTTTGTGGCCCAAATATAACATACGCTACTTAGCATCACAGGAAGATATATAAGTTAAAAAATAATAATCACTTGAATCAAATTTTTAAGAAAAATATTACCAATATTTACTATTTTTCCTGTAATTACTCTTCTTTTAGTCATTTATCAACAAGAAAGTATTTTCATTTTCCGAATGGATATATTTTTTAGGTTGCCAAAAGCAAAAGTCAACAATAATAACCACACAAAGCATATGCCAAATAGACCAAATGCATTGGCAGGAACGGGCAAGATAATTTTTATGCAAGTAAAATTTGATAATTAAGTAGATATTTTAATAGCGTAGCCAAGAATTAACCGTGAAATAAAGTTCAAGGAAAAGAAAAGCCAAATATGGGCTAAACCAAACCTTTAAAGCACAAGAAGTTATCTATTTCGTGTGCTTGTTTGTTGCATTAGTAAGCAATCTTCTAAAAAGCGTAAAACATGGCGAAACGTGGAGGCCAAGTTTCAAACTTTACGAGCCTATATGAACTTAGATGAGGTCTTAAGCTTTAAAAATAAAAAATAAAAATAAAATAAAAAACGTTCTCTTATTTTTAATATTATTTTAAATTT